CCCCCCCCCTTCCATATTATCTTTTTCTTGATTAGGTCGCCGTTACCCTCCACTAACCACTTAAACTCCGGTTAGGGTTTTCTTAGGGTTTTTATAGGGTTTAGGGTTCTTCTAAACCCCCTACTTTCCCGCCTCCTCCCGTCGGGCACCCTGGACCCGAACGGCTCCTCCCCCCTCGAACGATTTGGCGCGTTCTTCTCACGCGCGACCCGCCAAATCCGGGGTGAGCCGACTCACACATACTCACTCCGCTCCCGCGGTCCTCTTCCTCTTATCGGCGGACCCCTCTCCCCACACACCCCCGTGAGCTCTACCTCCCTTTCCCTTCCGACCATGGAAGGGAGTTCCTTTGAGGAGATCACYGCGGCRYYGTCCACCTCCCAGGTGAGCGTTCAGCCAGCGGGTCAGGGTCAGGCCCATGCGGACACGATGGACCTTCATGCCACCCTCGTAGCGATTCAGGCGCAACTTAGTACGCTTGGACCGTTGCAAGCGCAAATCAATGCGCTTGCCCTTGACGTCAACCGCCTCAAGGGCTCTCCTCATCACTCTCCCCACCGCTCCCATACCCCATCCCCTACCGGTTCCGAGTCCGGCTCCCCACGACTCCAGAGTCGGAGACATCGTGGTTCCCCCTCCTCTACGGGCTAGGCCCAACACTCCCCCGCAGCAGTGGCAAGTGCTACTGCCGCTCAAACCACCCCGTCTGTTGCGGCAGTTCTCCCGGCCACGGCCGCCCCTACCGTCTCTACTACTGCCGTAGGTGCTGCRGTCCAGGTACCGCCTCGAGGCCCAGCAGTTTCATCGACCCACACCGGTGTTGCTTCCCAGCTTCCCGCACCGGTCGCGGCAATACGGCTCCGCCCTCTTCTTCCCGCCTTTGTCCCCCCACCCCCACAACAGGGTACCGCCCAGGCTGGGATTCCTCCTCCCACTGGGAGACCCGCTCCGTCCCCTCCACCTCCGACCCCGCGCACCCAGCGCGTGGCCACTTTACAGGCCACCATTGCGCAGGCTCAGGCGGAGATTCTCGCTCTGAGACAGCCTCACCCATCACAGGCTGCCCACCCTTTTTCCTCTACCACCCCTTCGGTCCCCATGATGCAGGCTCGTTTCCCTCGACCTGCTCCTCAGCCTCTTCCCTCCTACCTGGATATTCCGGGACAGCTGCACGCGGCCGTTGCCTTCTCGTCTGCTGGCCCATCCGCTAGCAGCCACGGCCCACAGCCTTCCCCCACCTCTGCCCCTGCAGCGACCTCGACTTACGCTGCCGCAGTGCACTCGCCTCGATCTCTCTCCCCCCGCCATCATCACAGTGGACATCCTCCTGTGCGTACCACGGACATTCCCGAGTATGATGGCACAACCCGTGCCTCTCGCTGGTTGCAGATAGCAACACGCACGCTCTCTATGACGACCACCCGTCAGGAGTTGTGGTGCGATGTGCTCGCAACCAAATTGCGAGGTAGCCCTTCCACTGCGTGGGAGGATCATTATACCCAGCGCCTCCGCGTGGGTGAGGTCCCCACTCTGGCCGACTTCGCGGCCTTCCTTCGGGACCGTTTCGGCGCTCGCCATGACGCCACTGACGCCTTAGACCGCGTCACCCAGACCAGATGGTCCGGGTCCTCTGTACCGGCGGACCTGGAACGTCACATCCGGGTGTTTCAGGACGCTCGCCTTGTTTGTGACGAGACGTTTCTACCGGAGGTCACACTCACCGACCGGTTCCTTGTGAGCCTGCCGACTGACTATCGCCTAGAGCTATGGAGGCGATCATTCTCTTCCGCGGAGCAGGCATACGAGGTTGCGCGTCAGTGCCAGAGGATGTGCAGTCGCTTCTCCGTCGCCCCATCCTCTTCGCGGCCAGCCGCCACCTCTCAGTCTCGGAGTACCACCCGAGGTCGACCCATGGCAGACATGGCCATCAGCAAGCGCTCGGCCACCGGAACAGTGTCGTCATCCAAGTGATACCGGATGACGTCTCATAGCTTGATGTCCTCGGGGGCGTCCCCAAGGGTAGGGTCAAACTCGGTCGAGGCGTCCTCGCCGTACGCCAGAGAACTGTAGCGCTGAGAGAATGACGCTCCAGGGCGGGTCGGGCGACGAAAACGACCAGCAAACGGGTTGCACAGGCTGGTGCCCGCACACCCACGGTTCCTCAGATAGACCTCCCGCAGGGTTATGTCCCTCCTCGCGGAGCTCTATCCCCTGAGGAGCGTGCCGCCCTCGAGGCCCGGTGCGGCTGCCTTCGTTGCCGCCTAGATGGATACACCTCCTCACGGTGTCCATACCATACCGCCCTCGATCGGCACTACGCTGACATCTCTCGTCAGCATCGATCTCAGTCCCCCCCCCGGCCCCGCCCGGCCAGCCCCATCCACCTAGCCACGGTGCACTGTGCCCCTGAGGCCTCGCACGTAGCCGGCTTTCCGACCACCGAGTCGCGGTTTGCCCCTTTGGCTACCCCACCAGAGGACCCTCAGGACACGATAGACGCAGTTCTCTCTACCTCATCGTCTATCGAGGTACCGTCTGCCTCCCAACAGATTGCCGCATCGAGCGCTTCTCGCTTGAGACTTCCGACGCGTCGCGCCATTCGCACAGCCCGTTGTGGCGCTCAGCTGGCGACTCACGATGACGTTGTGTCATCTCTCTTAGACTTGAGCATTCTGCAGGCTCTTCAGGAGTGCCTCACGAGACACATCAACGTCCTGCGTCATCTTCTCGCCTTGCTTTCTGACCCTGATCACACCCTACCCATCATCCCTATTCGCCTAGGGACATCTAAGAGGGTGTACCGCGCTTTATGGGACCCTGGCTCGGAGGGAGATTTCGTTCACCCTTGAGTAATTGAGGAAGCTCGCCTAGCTACCTCTGGGTCTCGCTCTCCTATCTCCGTTACCCTCGGAGATAACAAGACGCAGCGCTTCTTCGATCAGACGGTCCCCGACCTCCACTTCTCCCTCACCCTCCAGCCACCGGATAGTACCCAGGCGCCTCG